GAAAATGTGGCCTCTCTCACGCCTATATTTGGTGCAGGGTGCCTGCSCTGCTGTGCTAACACACCACATCAGAAAGGAATTTCAAATGCTCCTTGAGAATTTAGTAACAAAAGTCCTGCTGGCTTTCTCACGCGCTCGAATGAGGCTACATGTAATAACCAGTCTTCTCCCTGCTGCTGCTCGYGGAACCTCAATGATGGATTAACGAGTTACCCAAGGACTCTTCAGCCCCCYGATGGGGCTGAACAGACCAGGCCAAGGTTGTCACCACTGCGGTTGTGCTGAGTGGTGCCTGTACTGCCTGTGAGTTGGCTGTTACTCCYGCTGCGCTCTTCTACTCATCAATATAGACCCATAGGCTGGGCAACCATTTGCTTTGGACAACTCACCAAGGCTGAAATGTTGAGCTTCTCCAGCGGTGCTGACAGGTGAGTGATTTGGAGGATACTGTGGTGGGGAGAGGCTCATCTGCCACTGCCCCAGTAACCTCATGGGGACGCCCTGGTCCATTTCTCCTCACCGAGGTGAAAAGACATAGATGGTTTCACACCTCACTCKTGAACTTTCTTTTCTGTGTAGTCTTTTAAGCTGTTAAAACTTGGTTATATTTTTGTCATTATTATTTGCTGCTTGAAYAGACAGCAAGTGTGGGTATGTTTTCCTTTCAGTCTTATCATTATTTGCAACTTTAAGGAAAGGCATAAATCTTAACTTTTTGTTTTATTAGCTCCAGTAGCAAAATAAAATTAAACTCGCAAAGCAAAATGACACTAAGTAATTAATGTGTTTGTGTTTGGAGACATCTGTTCAGATGAGTCAGCTTAACGATGCACTTGTTAATCAGGCAGAGCTGCCATTGGTCTCAGAGTTACTGTGGAAACCCGTGCTCCTCTCACCTTCTTTCTTTCTTTCCCTCAGGTGTTTTTGTGCTCTTCAGTTTATTGTGGTGTTGGAAAACACCTTAAGCTTATTTGTGAGTAAATAATCTGTAAAGAAGCAACATTTTTGTATGGTGCTACATTCAACAAGGAAAGGAGATGCTTTTTGGAAGCACTGAAGTTTTCATGGTTTCTCYGAAGAAGAAATGTATTTTCCTGCTGCTGGAACTCTCAGTCCCAACACCTCTGTTTTGTGTGCTGCAGCTCTTGAACCATGCTAAACTGATGAGATAAAAAGAGAGCAGATCAAGATAAGCAGGCTACAGCAAGACTCGGTTTGTTTTTTTTTCCTGTATGTTTGAAAACAAATTGATTTACTGGTGACTCTGTGGAGGAATTCAAATAACATTATCATGGCGGCCAGTGACCAAAAACCTGAGCTGTTGCTCCATGTCAGCATTGCTTGCTCCATCATATATGAGCCAGGTAAAGAAAAGGAAGGCAATTTTTTAAATAACAGATGCCAGAAAGAATGGGCCCTGTCTATTTGTGGTTTAGCTGGAGATCTAAATTTAAAGGTTAGATGAGCTTTCTTAAAATATGAGAGGAGGCTGCAGTGACACATGGGCTCATAAACCCAAGCTAAAATTGGAGGAACTCTTGTATCGTTCGGGACATGCTGGAGGTTCAGGTATTATTTTGGCAACTGCTGGGTACGAATAGCCTTTGGAAAGCGTTTACTATCTGGAAAAAGAGGTAAGCAGGGAGAGGAGAGGGTTGGGAGAGGAAAAAGCGGGACATAAAATATTAATGACCAGTGCACTGACGAGCATATCGGCTATCACTGCTGCCCAGGTCTGTTTACGKTTTTTTTTAAATGTGGTTGTCCATGGAAGCAAACAAACAGCAGATATTGCGTGTATCCTTTCTCTTAACCAGAAATGTTAAGTGTTTTGCCGGTGTTTTTGATCCTTGCTGTGTTCTGCTTTCTGCAGCTTGCTCTGGTCGCGCAGCTCTGCACGTGGMGGGCGTCGCGCAGCCCAGCCCCTCGGCGCGGCCCCCTCGGCACAGGCCTGGGAGCGAGCACGGGCGGGCCTCCTGTTAGGGGCGGAGGGAAAGGCCCAGCCGACTTTATCCCATAAAATGAATCGGTGAACACCCCAATGTCACCAGGTTCCACCGCGGTGCCCTGTGTGGGGGAGTGAGACACAGTGGGGCCACATGGCGCCAGGCTGCAGCCCGGCCTTGAGGGAGGGCCCCCATCTCGCAGTGGAGTCGCTGACTACTAAAAAAGTGGTTTTGTGACAGGTTCCCCTTCAACATCTCACTTTCTCTCACCAGCCTTCACAGGTTAGTTTCCAAGTAAGCAGGGTCATTTCCAAGTAAGCAGGGTCATTTCCAAGTAGTTGCATGTTCCCCCTTTGACTTTCATTCAGTTTTTGACCCTTTCAGGAGGAGACATCTGCATTTCCTCCCTTCCTTGTCTGACTTTTAGGGCTGCCAGACTGATTTTTCTCATATTGGAGGTTTTTTTTTTTTTTTTTTTTTTTTTAGGAATGAAGAGTTTTGGCTGGGATTGCTTCAACTAGACTATTTTGCTGGAAACTTGCACCCTGACTGTTTAGCAAAGAGGAGCCTCATTCAGGAGAAATACCTCTCCTGCTCCCCCTTCAGCTTTGCACGTGCTCTCCATCTAGCATGGTTCCCTCTGCAKGAATCCAGGGCCACTTCCAGGTCATTTCCCTTCAGACCCTCTCTGTTAGGATCCCGAGTGCMTCAGAAAATGGCACTGAAGGATGAGAAAGCAGGAGCCAGCAAAAAGTAGTGGCTGCAGATTTGCTGGCATTTTCTTAGTTCATTTGTTAAATGTATAAGTTTTTCATAGACAGCTGATGAATACTATTGTTTCCTCTCTTTGCCATTCTTCCTCATCTTTCACAAAACAGTAGCTAAAAGAAAGTATTTCTCCCTTCTGACGCAGTTTGCCTGTTCCTGGCTTGTAGCACTTTTGTCTCTGCTTCAGTTTGAGGAGGCKTGACAGGTATGTAAACAAGACTGAGAAGGTCATGCATATGCTGTTAAATTTTGTTTCCCTTTCCATGATAGAAAAATAAAAAATAAAAATCATGCTGCGACCCCCAAATTCTCAGCTTTGTGTCTGTGTGTCATGCTATAAGATTTTTCTTTCCTAATTCAAAATAAGGCTATCTATTCTGTTTTAACTTTTTTTTCATGTCTTCTGCTTTCAAATTTTGTGTGACTGTTAAATTTTAAACATTTTGTTCTACCACATCAGTTGCCAAATGTCTGTCTTGTCCCAAGGACTGTTAGTATATATCTTTGCATGGATCTCATGAAAATATGCAAGGATTGTGCTAGTCCAAAAGGCCTCTGGACCTGTGAAASGTATTTCAAGTAGTTTTAGAAAGTTATGTGATGTTTGCTTCTGTTGTTGGAGAGTTCGTGGTTCTGTTTTGGCGCAAAGGTTGGTGTTCTTTGACTGTAAAAATGTTTTGGTTTCCCAGCCCTGTGTAGTTTAGGACAGTTATCCATTCTTGTGGAGCACATGGTAAAATAAGGGGTTGTTAGATGCAATTTTCTGCAGCTCAGTATCGTTAAGCTACGATGTCTGCACTTAAACTGCTAGACCAGCCTTCTGGATGCTCACTTCCAAGCTCATGGTTGGAAGATGAAGTTCACATTAGAGTTATAATGTGCTAGTAATTGAAGAAAGAGAAGTAGAGGGAAATAGAGTGGGGTTTTTTGTGTGTATGTTTTTAAGGCTGGATCTTGGCACATCAGTTGAAATAYACTGTGAGTCTGTCTTTGGCTTTCTTCAGTCCAAAATATTCTAATATTTTCCCCCAGATTCTGGTTCTGCTGCAGGGTCATCTGTTAAGTCTGCAATTAATTACAACATGCAAACTGGTGTACTCCTGCCCTTGGTGATTTTTTGTGATGTATATTCAGAGATGTTCTTCTGGTATAAAAAAGCATTCACTGTGTGTGGAACCTCAAAGATGTAAACCAGATTATTGGAGTTTTCATAGGGATGTTTTACTGCTAATGACAAAGGTGACTTTCTAAAATGCAGTCAAAATTGATGATGCTAGCAACTTAGTAAGATTTAATTTCTAATGAGAAGACCATCAGACTTTGAATTTAATTTAGAACTTAATATATCTAAGTGTTAGATATTTTTAAGCAGATTCAGCAAGCAGATGCTTATGAAGCAGTTATGGCTGTAGTTTCGTGGGATAGTGTTGCCTCAGTGACCTGCAAACCTAAACAGCAAGGGTCACTTTGTCAGCTGTTCTGTCAAAGAAAACCCAACAGCTGCTGCTTAATACTGTAGGGTACTTGTAGCATGCTCTGGGCTTCTGGCAGTAGAATTAATATGCTGAACAAATATTGTGATTTACAAGTGTACATTATTTCTGTGCGTTCAAAGAAAACCTTAAGTGGAGTGCAGGCTTTAAACAACTAAAACTGAACTTTTATGTACTATAGATAGCTTCCTGCTCTGATGATTTAGATCCAAATAAAGACTACAGAAACAAAATTAAAATGAGAACCACAGGAATTGTCTTAACATTAGGAAATAGTWAGGAATTCACACAAAGTGCGTGCTTTACTTCTGTTGTTATGGTGACTATACATTTAAATATTTTGGAGAAAAAATGCCATCTGCTTTGATTCAACAACTGATTTATATAAACATGCTCATCCTGTTTAAATGCTTTGACTTAGAGGAAGAGCTACAGTCAGCAAATACACTCGGTAAATCGTTGGGGGGAAAAAAGTTGCTACTTGCAGAATGTGAAAATTGGGCTTACAAAACTTTTGAAAAGGCTTTGAAACCCCAAAACGTAGGATTTGCCTCCGTAGCTTAAAAAGTACAACTGATTCTAGCTATTTTAAGTTAAGAATCTTTTTTTTTCCCTTTAGTTATCCGGTGTCAGGTGATGTTTGTGGAGGCAGCCCATCACATTTCAGATGGTGACAAAAAAGAACAGGCAGTTTAATGCCACCAAACTAGGGGTGTGTTAAATCTCTCAAGTACGATAAGCTCAATGGGGTTGTCTATTTTTAACCTCCTGTTCTTTCCTTTTGGCAGAGTAATCRGTGTTAGCTGAGCTCTTTCACTGAATGAATTCAAGCAACCCTACTGTTGCTTTCTGAAATGAGCTGTGCATCTTGGAAGAGTATACCAAGACTTCTTTAATGTGTGAAGTCCTCGKCTGAAACACGATGTCAAATGAAAGCAGTTTAGAGCCAACGCTTTCTACGACAACAATCAGTTCAGTTGCTGTTCAGGCTGGGGATTCCTGTATAGTTATAGCTGTACTTAAGGTAAGGCAAGAATTGCTAACACTTTGTCCTTGGCTTGGTCCTTTTCTGCTACTCTGTGGTTATTACTCTGTTAAATGTTCTGCACAAATGAACAGCTATATAGCATAAATAATAAAGCATATATCTAATTAAGTAGTGTTTTTAAAGTATTTCTTATAAGTTAATGTTTGTTTCTGTTCCAAAATTCTCATTTGGAATAGAACAATTTGGCCAAAATACATAAGCTAGTTGAGGCAAGGAATTACTTTTGCTTAGTTTGAAAAGTAACAGCTGCAGAGTGCCATGAAAATATGTTGATAAGCATGAATRTTATCTTTTGAAGAATTTAAACCATAATTAAAATTATTTTTAACTGTATCTAGACTGTTATGTGGTCTTATTGATACAAACTTCACAAATACAGATTTTGGTGTGTCTCCTTTGGTCAATTTGCTGGGAAAAATCAGCTAAAACAGATGGTTATATTTTGAAGCCATGAGTTCGTATTCCCACGTGTTTTCAAAGGAGCACTTAATGCATCTATAGCTGTTCTCATGAGCACCTAGATGCCTGTTTGCGAACTGGAATATGCAYGTAGAGATTGCACAGAACTTGGGATGTGGAGTAAAGCCCAAGGTCCTCTAGGTACCCAACTGCAGTTGGAATTTATTGGCAGTCTGAGCCTTCATTCTCAAGGCAACTTGGAAAACGCTGAAGCCTAAGCCACTAGTCTGGCTGTAATGTGGCATAAGGTGATAATGTGTTAGTGCTGTCACCAAAGGTTTGGGTGGTCATTCAGAGTGGTGCCCTGTTACTCCAGCCCTGCCAGGGGAGTGCACTGTCCTCTCAGGTTTTGTCTTTCCTGGAAGAATTTGTCTGCATGAAGGGGTTAAAATTTGTTACAAGGAAGGTTAGATATTTGAGGGTGAAGGTGCTAAATTCTCCTGTGTGCCATGGGATCCAGCAATATCACTGCTTCATTCTCTGTCATTGTCCTTCATCAGTATAATACTTCTCAGACCATAGCAGTTTTGTAGCACAGACAGGATTAGGAGGTCCTGGAAGAGAACTGGATATGTATGGATGTATAACCTTAAAGCAAGAGTCTGAATAAAATAAATGAATATGAAGCCTATATTTTCTGAAATRCATATATATATATATTTTCTTATTACAGTGTGGAAAATGGGTGAATCTTCAACTGGCTGAATCAACACCAAATTTATTAGAAATTGGCAGCAATCAAGATGAGACTCGAAAACTATTGCAAGATCATGAACTCCTCCTGGCTAAACTTAAGGTAAGGCATCTGAAAAGGCCAAGCAGAAATATTGCAGTTCAGATGCAGCAGTACATGCCTGCAACAGTGACACAGGTACCTGGGCTTCCTGCCACATTCTCTTTGTTTAGGGGGTTTCACACAAATATATTCACTGACTCACGGAATGTTTGAGGTTGGAAGGGACCCCTAGAGATCATCTGGTCCCACTCCCCTGCTCAAGCAGGGACACCTAGAACATGTGGCACAGGGTTGCATTCATGAGGGTTTGGAATATCTCCGAAGAAGGAGATTCCATAACCTCTCTTGGGCAGCCTTCAATGAGATAGATCCAAGGTGAGTGTTTGCAYTGGAAAAATAAGCTTACCGGTAGTTTTGTTGTTTTTCTCCCTTATAGTGGCTCCCTTATAGTAGCACTTCAAAATTGCTACAGCAACTAGTCTTGAAATGCTATTACATGTACCATTTTTTCCTCCAGTGTTGTGAAAGATTTGTTTCATTTTGGTAATGGCTGTAAACACAAGCAATCTCTTCGTAATTGTGAAATAGATATTCTAGGCACGTTTTTTTCAAGTATTAATTGATGCAAGTTTGGGCAGAAATGACACTTTAGCAACATGTATTGCTTGTCTTCAGGAAGGAATATTTTAGTCCTGCAATAATGCTGAAACTACAGATGCAGCCTTCYGTGGAACGTATCAACAGTGACACTTTTAAAGAATAGAAAAGGAATACATTGTAATTCTAATCTTTAAAAGCAAAGAAAAAATCAAACTACATTTTAATAATGAATCATACCTTAAAATAGTAAATATTTATAATTAATGCTAATGTTTTTAATTGTTCCAATTGCTGCAAATTGTTCTATGGGAGATTGTGCAGGTACTACTGACAACAATGACGGTTAACAATGACAGTAAAAAATTAAGTATACTCATTAGAGTCCAACTTGAAACAAAAGTATTAAAACAGGGGGAAAAAAGTCTATTTTGGTGGATGAAATTCCTAGGTGCATCCACAAGCTCCATCCTATTCTTGTTTTATGATCTTGAAACTAAAAATAAAATGTCTTAGGTACTTCTCTTTTTGTTACAAATTATTTAAATAATAAGAAAATGAATAATCTAAAAGCATTTGATGGATCTAATTTAACTTTATATTTTTGAATTTCTGTTAGTCTAGCTGCATATTTTTCAAGGAACCTTTAGTTTTTCAGTTAGCAGTGTTTACTGCCCATTCTGCTAACAATAAAAATTAAAATAATAATCGCCAAYATTTTAAATACTATTGGTGAAACTACTACTTTTCACAGTGATTTGTAAGGCTTTCTAACTGTGATTGTATGAATCCAGGTGTCTGATCTTTATTCAGTTYCCCAAAGCATAGTAGATCTGATGAGAAAAACTTACTGTGCACTATCTGTTACAGGTTGATTATGGATGACAAACACCTTGTTTCATTATTGGTATAATTCTTGTTTGATAAAATGCACAGTCAATATGACTGTTCCTTCTTTATAATAAGCTGTTAACACTYGTCAGTAATTACTCAGCCCAGTGTTATTAAATCTAGTTATCAAAAGTTTTTACAAGTGTGATCCTCAGTTCTGGAAGTATTTATTATAATACTTTTTTCCACTTAGTATTTATTCATGCATTATGCATTTGCAKTGTGAAGATGGATGAAGTATAAGACCTCATAATGTTTCAATATTGAATGTTTTAATTATTTATCTGAGCATAAAAAAGGAATTAGAGATGTGGGCAGGAGAAGGCTCAAGGTACAAGGCAAAGTAGCAATTTTTAGATAGCATCTCTTCTTTCTTACCCTCTGTGAGCAACWTAATTTCATAAATTATAGCTGTAATGATTTTGTAGTGCAACATTGAGTCTATTTTGAATTGTTTTCCAATTTCTCATTTATTAAGAAATTTGTAAAATACATCATTTTTTCTGATACTAAGGTATTGATCCTGGATGCACTTAGACATGTTTGCTTATCTTTATTTTGCTAATTATTTTAATCAAATTTAAAATAAAGCTCATGTGCTGGACAGGCCAAAAAAAAAAAAAAAAAAAATCCAGAGCTGACAGATTAACATGACACTCCACAGTGGAAGAATTACATGTTTAATATTTCATACTTCATAGAGTCAATGCTGGAAAATCCTGTGCACTTACAAAAGATAATTTATGGAATATTTGACCATGCTGGCAGGTAGAAATATTCTGAGTCTTTAACTCACATTATATTGTAAATTCAGTGTGTTTTGATTATGTTTTTTATTTTTTTTCAGATATATTATTCTTATCCTACTACAAGTGTTGTAAATTGTAATTAATATTCATGTCACATTCTTTGCTCTTCTTTGTATGTTGAGGATTCACGGGTGTAAGGAAGGACAATTTGGCACAGCAAAGAATAATCAGTTTACGGTATTTTTGATGCTACAGGAAAAGGAATGTAATCCCACGCACTTCTCCAGCAGCTGCTGCTGACTCAGCAATGCTAACAGAAGTTTTAAATAAGGGGGGAAAAAAAAAGCTTAAAAAAACCCCATAAACTGATTTGGCATTTAGGTATGCTGATGATATTCTAATGCAAGAGGAAGATAGCTGTTAAATGCTAAAGCACAAAATTTTAGTATATTTTCTGCTTTTTATGATGTTATTTTGATATCTAAAATATCTGTATGTGTAAATCATTAGGATATTATGGAAAAAAAAGATATCCAAAATACTTTCCTTTAGATAAAAAGTATTTTGTTGTATTCGGTTACCAACTTATATTAGAGTGAGATATTAGAGTGAAGAAATAAGGGAAGATTAATTTCCCTGCACCCTTTAGAAACCATTTGTTATGCTTTGCAGTTCAAGTAGGCAGTCAAATATCGGGAGTTAGAGGGAGAAGAATAGATTGTTTACATAGGTAGACATATTCTGCAAAACTTGGTTTAAAAATAAAAAGGCTTTTTTTACCAGCCTTAGCTGTAGGAAGAACTTTGGAGCTATGCTTGTAAGCAGTGCCATTMATTTCATTTCAACTAATTAGTGACCAAATTTCAAACTAAAGATATGTGTGAATATTGCAATAGTAATGATGGGAAGCTCTTATAAAATTTTAATTATGCACAGTCATCACTTCAGTTAGCTCATGTGAACAATGTTGAATTGAAAGTAGTTAGGGACGCTGTAAGGATTGATTTAGTTTGAGAGATTTGTTAACTGTCCTCCTGAGAAATGGGGATTTGCTAGAATGGGAGGCCAGATTAAGTAACAGAAGAAAGCTTGATTTAACTAGAGATGGCTACAGTTACAATGCAGTAAAAGTAAATTTAGCATTAGGGATGCTTATTACTGGTACAGTAAATAAAGTGCTTGCAACATACAGTCATGTATAAGTGTAGGAGACAGATGTAGTCTGTTTTCAAAGAGAGTTCTGTTACCCATTTGCTAACTTACTTATTCCATGACAAGTACCAGGGAAGAACATCATTATACAAATATAATTTTTCTTTAAAAATTTGCATGAGCTCAGTTCATTAACTCTGACAATTATCAGTAGTTTTCTGAAACTGACTTTTAAATTTTATTAAACCATACAACCGAATAATCTCTGCAATATAAMATTATCATGAGCCTGTACACTTTAAGGGTTCTAACTGGTGCGTGTAACACTTGTCAATCACTTGCAACAGTGTTTGACTGCCTATCTATTGTATAGATAAGCACTACTGAATAAAAGATGATTGAAGGACTATGGTTTAGGTTCTCGAGACCAGCTGCTTTTTCTGACCTGATTCTTATCTCACTCTAGTGAGATGGAGATATAAGTGTGATGGAGATATAAAATTGTTTCTGTGAATATTCACATCAGAGTGATGGTATCTACCTCATGAAACTGATCTGAATTTTTCTTAGTTGACTGCATAGAGATAACTTAAAATAGTTTCCCTGCATTTTTTTAATGAATTAAGCCTTCATTGCTTATTATACCCTTTTCTCAGCGCTGTTTTTAGAGAAAAAATGATCAGCCCTTTTAGTTCTAAATATAATTTCTGTGTGGTCTGCAAGGTCTAGAGAAGAATGGAGAATGTGATTCTSGGCTTAAAACAATTGAGAATCAGTTTTCTGCTATCTGTTTTTCTCAGTTTGATATGCAGGAGAATTTCAAGTTTTCCTTTTTAGTTTTATTAGAGGCTGTGTCATGAGTATGAACTATGATAGATTTAATTTGCCTATTAATTTCTTTCTGCATTACACACTCATGTGATAATACCTGTAATAACAGAATGAAATGGCCATTTATTAACTCATGCTCATGATAAACACTCCAACTAGGAGGGAACAAAAATGAGAATAAATGTTAATCAAATGATCTGACATGCTGGAAATGTCCCAACAATTATCTTTCTCATGATGTTAGTAAAAGAAATGAAACACAGTAGAATGAATCTCCTGACAATATGAATATATGGGTGAATATGAATATTATGAATAAGTGGCCAACTTAAGCAAGGTTTCAGAACAGGAAGTGTTGCACAATCTTTGGGGTTTGTTTTGTTTATTTGTTTCTAGAGAATGCTTGCCTGTGTTCCAGTTACTCGTCTGGGTTGTATTGGAATTATCAAAGATTTATAYGACTTAACTGACAAACCTTTAGGGTTCTTTTGGGGGAATAATCTCATTATATTATGACATAAGAAAAGCAGATCTCAAATATTTTCATAACTAGCACTTATAGGAAGATTTTTCTTACAGTAGAGTTAAAAATACTTGAATCTGAATTTTAGARATAGAAGAGTAGATTTCCACAGTATTTATTTTCGAACACAATTGCATTTAAGTGTTGCAAGTGAGGAAGAAATTCAGATTCTTGCCGTGAAACATATATGAACAGCAACATTCATGTCATTGGGATTTGATTTGTTAGTTCTGTTGAAAAGATACATTGAGGAGGCCAGTATCAGTCAGCATGGTGTTATAAATTCTGTTTATAAAATTCTTTTTTCATTTTTTTTTCTTCTTGTCAGACTTTGGAAGATCAAGTGTGGAACCTGCTGGATGAAGCAGACAAGGCTGCAGAGGAGAACAAAGAACAGAGCCAGGTGTATGATGCTATGGCCAAGACCCTTGGGGCTGCATGGGATGCCCTCATCGTTATGCTAGAGAAGCGAAGGGCACTTCTGGAACTTACAGCAGTATTCTTCGAAAATGCTCTGGAGGTTTGTATTTAAAAGCAAATGATTATCAGTTTGGAAACGCCCTCCTCTTTCAAGAATTCTTTCTATCGTGTGTCCTATATTCTTTATATCCATTGCACTCTTAAAGTTTGGTTGTTTAAGAAGACAATTTCTAGATGTTTTTTATTTCCCCACTTTTCTGGGTAGTTGAAGATGAAATTGATCAAAAACATATAGACTTTTAGAAATATCTTACTAATGACACATCCAAAATCTGTGCTTGAAAGAAAAATGACAGTGAAAAATGGAACTGGACTAAAAAGCAAAGTATATAATTCAGTGACTCTGCACATTCTTCAGAACATCTTTCATTCCTTTTGATTTAAATTATTTGACACTGAAAGAGCTAAATTCTTAAAAGTATTTCCTAATGCTTATTATATACTCACCACTGAAAGTCTTGCAATGAAATATGCACAGCTGTTACAGTTATGCTTACAAACTCATTTTTAGTTTGACTTGCTAATCCTTTACTCAAGATCTCCATATACAGCCACGTGCAAGTGACAATTGTGCGAGCACAGTGACAGATTTCAGATTGTTGCTGTTACAAAGAAATGGAGAGATAGCAGTATCTCTTATCTTGACTCACAATAGGGAGCAAAAGCTGAGAGGGTTTCCACACTGCAGACTCGTGGTCACTCTGTCTAATCCCATTGCTTAGGTTCTCTCCGTGTTATTGGAGTTATGGAGGGGCTTTAGATTACAGAAGAAGGCAAAAGTAAATCCAAAAGTTGAAATTAAATAATGTTAAGTTTTCAAATTTTTATTTCGAAATCATACATCAAAGAGCAGGACTCAGTAACCCTGGAAAAAAAAAATGTTTTAGCAATTCTCCGAGCTTCTCTATTGATTTCTTTAATGTAATATCAAAATTACAGAAGCAACCATTCTAGTGTAAACTGTCCGAAGAGCTCTGAGGGAGGTGAAAGATCTTCAGATCAACAACCTGCTACAATGTACTATACAAAGAGATTGCTACAGATTTTACATAGGCATCACTGATATGCTGCATGCAATCAAAGTGCAATTGCAAAGAAAATCCTTAAGGGACTGCTTAAATTGTCCCTGAAACAAGCTCTTCATAGTAAAAAAAAAAAAAAAAAAAAAAAAAAAAAAACCCACAGCTGAGGCCAAGGCATAGATCATACCTGTTAGATGCAAAAAAGAATGCAATATTAACATAAATAGAAATTGTTTAATTTCATTTTTCTTTAATAGATAGCCTGTAGATAGCCTCTGAAAGGTAGCCTATGACTGCTAATCTGTTTTTAATWGTGATAGAGAACAAGCTTAATCTCAAGAATATTCTGTAATGAAACTCAAAACTCAAATCTCAAATGTTGACACACAGTGGATTTGTTTTATAGCCTACTTATCAAGAGGGAGAAAAATATGGAATAATAGAAAAAGCAATTAACTTTTCATCTTAATTTCACCCTACATTTCATCATCTTTGACTACCCTGAAATACAAGTGTAAACTACCTAGATTTCTTTGTGTTTGCAGTGAAGCAATAGAATTGATATATACCAGGCTAAATTGCATAAATTAGGTCTAAATTCTTAAAATGTTTAAATACCCTAACCCAAGATGATCAGCATTCCAGTAATCCTAATTGGCAARGCCCCTTTAAAGATGGAAACAAAATAATGAATTCCAGTCTTAGGGTTTCATCTAAACTTCTTCCAGCCAGGACCTGGTCTCTAAACAATGAAATTACTTAGAAAGAATGGGAAAGAGATGATAAAAACAACTAAAAGATCGATTTAACAAAAGGAATAATATATTGCTAGCTGAGATTGTTTCTTAGTTTAAATCTTTTTTAAAATGCATGAGTAATACAAGCAGTATTATGTATACTCAATATCTGACATCTTGAAGTTTGTGGCTTACCTTTTTATTCTATACTATCTAGTACTGGCTACAGAGTACTGACTGATACTCTCAATGATTTTTCACTATACCTTTCCCTGGGTAATATCCATTCTAAGGGCCAATATCAATTTGAAATCATACTCTGCTACCCTAAGGTAAGTCAGAAGTTTCAAGACATTTTAATTACTGTATAGTGGGACAGTCTTGGCAGTCTTTTGCTTATGCAGTCTCAGAAATGGATTACCAAATCTGCTCTACATCCGTGAAATGCAGCATGTTTCAATATTTAAAATATGCAACATCTGGAAAAATGAGCTGTAAAAAATAAGCTAACTTTAATCTTTATGACAGATATACTCCTGCTGACCTATAATCTATTAATATTTTCACCATAATATTAGTTTAAATTTGCTACTCATTGCTAATGTCACAAGACTACTTTGAAGACTATCTATGTCTGATGTTTCCTTCAACTATGTGGAATTTAATGTTTTAACATGAGAGAATTTCTGGGAGTGAGACCGACGTTAACAGTTCATTAATCTTCTTTTAAAATGAGTCTTCACAAAATTCATAGATTCTTCCGTAAGAATTGTCAATGGATTTGAAGACTGTGTAGAATTCACAAAGTGATAAACTGTAATTATAGAGTACAGCAATTGAATATGGATTCTCTCAGTCAAATGTGAACTTCAGAAGGACTGAAGAAACTCAGAGGATACAAAGTGTCTGTAGCTAGCAGTCACTAGAAATGCTTATCTATTTCTGAGAATTTAATTTTTTCATGAATTTTTTTCTTAAGTACATAGATTAATTTGGAGTTCTGTAAAAGAATTATGCTATGTTTCCTTCTGCCTTTTATTTTCATAATGTAGTTCGCTGTTAAAATTGACCAAGTTGAAGATTTCCTGAGAAATACCCAAGAGTTTGAAAATATTGATTCTTTGAGAGAACTCCTTTTGCAACAAGAGCATCATACGAAAGGTACAGACAATTCCATTCCTGGTAGTGTGCATAGGTATTTGAGTTTAAAACCTTTTAGAACAAATATGAAACTCTTCCAATAGGGAAAAGAAAATGCAATAATTGAATTCTGCAGCAGTGTATGTTGTGCTGGGCTTATATTCTGAGTTCAAAGCCATCTTGGTTCTGTGACCTCCTAAGAACCTAACGGGACTTTCAGTGCTGATTGGCAAGCAAGTTCTAAAACCATCTATATGCTCTGCTGGAAATTTCATGAAAGTCAGCACATAGCTAAATGAGCTAGCATTTTTCCATGGAAAATATTCCGTGCAAAAGCTTGCAATCAGCTCCAGTACCAATCCCTTTTAGAGTCCCACAGCTCCTTGAGAGTGGCCAAGGGATAAGCTTTGCCTTTGCTCTCCCATATTCAGGGATGAAGTTTGAGGAAAAGTGCTGAAGTGAGGATGGGAACTATGAGTTGTAGCTGGCAGCTGGAGAGCTTTGCAATCTAGTTGCATGTTTTCTGCATTCTCCCTCTGACTTTGAGGGGCTGGGCTGTGGTTTACATCCCTGTCAAGCTGTCATGTTTGTTCTAAGAGGTTCTGTAGCCACAGCCTTATGGCTCTGATAGGAAGGTGCCCTTTYCCCTTCCACCACAAATCTTCTGCACATAAGTTTGCTTAGATTCCTAGCTGTTGTTTCTCTTTGTTCCTTTATGAGAAGCATCTTCTGCCACATTATGGTATTCTTAATTAAGAAATGTCATAGGATATGACCTTTCTAGAAGTCTGTATTTATAATGTATGCAGGCAATGTACAAATATACATTAAGCTTGTGTATGTTAATAGGTATTATAGTTCTAAACATATATGAGCAATATTTAGAATATGCCACTGCATTTTAAATCACTTTTTGTCTTYCCGTGAAATTCTATCCTTACAGAGCTCTTGGAAAAGTCACTGGCCCTCTTAAACAAAAGTCAAGAACTAACTGAATTCATAGAAGAATTCAAATCTGAGGGGCCAAATGCAAATCCCGAACTGATTCAGGGAGCCCACAGCAGCTGCTTGAAAATTGACAGCCTCCTTGAACTGTTACAAGACAGGAGACGGCAACTGGACAGAGTTCTTAAACATCAGCGCCGGGGACTGGAGCAGCTTCTGCGTATTTGCCTGTGGCACCAACAAGAGAACCAGGTAAGATGCCCTCCTGCATCTTCTCCTTTGCACTCATTTGTCAAGGTTCAAATTGGATAACGTGGATGACAGAGGGAAATGCCGTTGGAGAAGCCACTGCRACATCAGACTCTGTTCTTGTTTTCTGTGAGAGACTCCGCCTTGCTGAAAGAAAAAGCTTCACTAATTTAATGCAAATATACAGAAAGTCTTGCAGCATTAGCGTTGTTGGATATAAAGTGTGCTTAGAGAAGGAGGAACCTATGCAAATTTAACTGACTTTGTCAGTTAAAAGACTCAAGTGGAGGGGGCTTTTTTTGTTTTTTTTTTTTCCAGTATCTTGTAAGTGGGCTATTTTTGGTACAGACCCCAGCAGTGCATTCCTGATTGTGATAACCCTGTAACTTTCATTTCAGGCTTCCAAAATAAATCTTCCCATTGTGTCAATGGAAAGTATTAATGAGCCTTAACTATTGTCTACTCACTAGCTTTGCCTGTGAGGTTAGTTGAATTGTGAAACACCTTATTCAGCAAGATGTATTCAGATTTTTTTTTTTAAGCTACGTAATAGCTTATATATACACTGACATAATTGTATATCAGTAACTTCACTAAGTTATTCAGGCCAGAGATGGAGATGTCCGTATTCTTTATTTCTGTATCATTGTAACATGTTCAGACTTAGCATCATGTGATTTTTAGGGAAAATGTGCAATATCATTATCCTGTTAATCATGCATTCATTTTTTTGTCAAGTTCTAACTTTTTTTTTCCCATAATCAAAACAACTGTATTAATTTAGGATATGATCACACTTCAGGAATAGTTTTGCCTTCTTTAGCTACATATATTCCAATATATGTTTATTTGGGCCATGATTCATTCTGCATTTCTTAATATTTAAGTAATACAAGAACAAACATTTAGGTAAAGGCATGAATAAGGAATGAAAAATAGTTTCCTTTGTACATGACGCTATTTTGTACGTGTATTAGAGACTGATCAGTCATTTCTCAAGTTCTGTGTTAATGATTGGGAAATTTGTTGTTTATCTAGGTAACATCTTGGTACAAGAAGAATATCAGAGATTATTTTCATGGGCAAAGCCTAGGCTTGTCTTTAATGGAAAATGAAGAGTTAATTCAAGAGCATAATGAAATGGAAACCAAAGTGAAAGTAAGAAATACGATAGTTGATCAGGGAAGCAACTGTAAAGCTGAATAACAGAGCAAACTCATGCATGTAATATACATGTATATAAGTAGATATGTGATGCATGTGCATATGCTTGTGAGAAGTTTTTCACTGTTACTGCCTTATTACACATGTGTGCACCCATATACACACAAATATTTTTTATAGCTTTCTCATTTAAAACTTTTGTAACTAGTGATGAGGCAATAGAAGAGTAGTCTGTTGTGTGTACTATACTGTGTGTACTGTGTAAACACAGTAATATACTTCCCCATGGCCTCTGAATGTCCATGAGCTGTTTGTAATGTCCTTCTRTGAGAAGGAGGGCAATCATAAGCAAGTCTTCACCCAATTTGGATTTTCTATATTACAACCTACAGCGGTGAAAATGTATCTTTTCAAGGAATGTTGCCTATGTACACTGTGAGGAGTGGTTTGAGGATGAGGTTAAGTTACTGTGATGTGCTGAATGAGCATAATGAGCTGTTCTGATGGCGAGGAAGATGCTRGAAAGTCATGGTGTTCTCAAGTCTCACACAAAGATCTTTGCATGTATTTGTTTGCATGTGTTGTTGCATTAAGATCTACATACCAAGTGATTTGGTTAAATTGCTCAGAGGTTAGCCTAATACCCATTTGCAGGTCTCACAAGAGATGGAAGAATGGCTTATCACATTCTCTCGTCAATATTATGGTTTGAAGTTCAGCTCGATGAGTGGAATGTGCARTGAATTGACAGAGGTGAAACCACTTAACATTATCAATGTTTTGTATGAGAATCGAGGTCAAACACAAAACCAACAATTCATACACAATTGAAATTGGAAAAACCTTCACCCACATGTAAGATTGAAGAATAGAGAGAGAAGAGACTGATTCCACAGAGGATGATTCTGTTGCTTTCTAAGCTTATGTTTAGGAAAAAGTGCTTCAGTGGAACCACCTGCTAGCACTGATGAACTGCTTTCTGTCACATTTCTGTGAATTGCTTGGTACAATTAAAAACAAACAAAAAACAAACAAACAAAAAAACCCTGCTAGCTCCACTTTGTGGCCAAGCAACTGCAGAGATGAGAATAGCATTCAAAATTGCCTGTTGTATGGTTTCTKCCACTTCTCAGAGCTACACAGGACTAGGGGCAGCTCTACCTTTAGTAAGGGCTAGTAACCTAMTGAGGAGTGCTTCTTCCCTGTGCTCTAGATGTGCATGCTTGCTCAAGCTGCAATAGCCGTGCCGGGTACTAATGTGACAGAGACTCAGTTGGTTCTACTGTGGTCTCAGTAGAGACGCCTGTCTTTGAGGAGACTGGCACTTATCGTTTATCAGATCTAGCAGATATCTTAAAGCCCTTTTTTTATAGCTAGAATGAACTGTTTTCAAACACCAGAAGGGACTACAGGCAACTTTATTTTATCTAATTAGTCATTTGTTTTATAATTCTCATTAATGTCTGTGTGTTTAACTGTCCAAATGTGAATAAAATCCCTATTAGGATCTGATTATAGGATGCCTTTGGTACCAGCTRTGCCAACTGCAAGTAGTGGAAGGTGATGACATTGTGCTGCTGACAGAATTGGATATCAGTGACTTAATTTGACACCCCTTGCTTACAAATAGACCTATTAAAGAATAGTACATGGAGAGTAATTCTGTGCTGTTTTCAATATAAATAAAGACAAATGAGCATAGCACAGCAGACTAATTAGTCCCAAAATCCTCTTTCTTGTTGAACATTACTTAGGGTAGAGATGTAATGTCAGAATTTTATTTATGAGGTATTATGCGTTAAAGAGTGCACAGCATGGTCTCACTTAATGAAAAATACAGGCTGAAGACTATTGCTTCCTGAATTTAGGAATGATCGTTTTAATTTTAAAGGAAATAACAAACTTTTTTTTTCACCCCTATAGATACTATTCAGTAGTAGGAAAAAAAACACTATCTCTTCATTGTGCCTAATATTTATCTCTTTCTATTTCATTGGGAAGCTGAAAGCTTCTTGTTCAAGGCCTCAGGTAATACTTATGTGAGGCATTTTGAGTGTTTTCCTTGGAGAAATGTGCAATTTCATTGTGGCTTTGGAATCTTCCAAAGCAGCACCAATTTCTGCAGCTTTGCATTTCTCCCAAATGCATTGGGCAGGATTTGGCCTGCAGGTGCTTGTTTATCAAAGAGCTGAATTTTAAATAGCTCTGAGAGTCCGTTTCAATGTACTTATTCTTCTTGAGCTTAGATGTTTTGGGCGCTGGGTAAGTTGGGCATTGTAGGAAGTCTGCTTCCTGCAAGGTGAACTTGCTTGAAACTGTTCAATGCAGACAAGGCACCTCCATGTAAATTTGTACTGATTCAGTTCGTTTTAAAGCGGGTCGATTTTAAAGTACCTGTCTCAATCAAGTGTCAATGTTTCCAGCTGTGTGGCTGGAAATTCAGCATATGATCACCCTTTAAAACCACCTCTCCTATCCGTCGCAGGAATGGAATTCCACTGTGGAGCTACTGAAGGCTGAAGGATTTAAGATCTTGCTCTGGGAGGACTCTGTAGACAAAGAACATCTGAAACTTTCAAATCAGAAGATYGGTCTGCTGCAGGAAGAGGTGTGCTGCCACATGGAAGAAAGGAAGGCYCTGCTCCAAGAGGCCAATGTCTTTTTTAATGTTGCTAATAAGGTCGGTAACAAGCCAAGCTTGTGATAGTGCACTGCTAATACAACTGTTACTTTGGTTTTAAAGATTGTTATACATGGGATTATGCAAATAGAATTTGTCAGAACTGTTTTGGAATGCATAGTTCTTAACCTGATTAGCCTTACTGAGATCTGCCTCAAAATTATATTAAATGGCAAGTGTATATTTTCAAAATATGTTTTTTAAAAAAAATGTGTATATGGAGAAGAGCATTCAGCTTTCAAAATAAGGATTATAACACAGGATCACAGGCTTTGTCATAACAATGTAATGCTGTATAAGTAAAGATACAGCAGTTGCTCTAAAATACCAAACTGTTATAAGCTAGAAGGGACACCAGAAGCAGTGCCTCTACCTGCAGTGTACTTCATGGGTATAATTAGGAATCACACATAAGAGAAACAAAGACAATACATAATCCTACATATGGCCCTTGTTATATGTTACATGGCTTAGATGTGATACAATGGAAAAAAGGCAATTTTTTTTTTTTAAAAAGCACAAAACTAGGTCACTGCAAAAGTGATGAATGAAGACTCTGAATTTTGAGGATGTTTTTAACTTCTGGAGGCTATGATGAGGTCAGCAAGGGAGTGTTTAGGCAATAATTYCCATTACTGGAGTGCTTGTATGGAGATTCGATGATTCAGGTTCCAAAATCAGGTTCCTGGAACTCTCACGGGAATTTTTTTGAACCATGGAGAAATGAGTTGTTGGAGCAGTTTATCACATTTCTACTAGACATTTTGTGACTGTAAACTGAATTTTATTCTTTGTTTAAACCTAGAAGTAATTCAGGAATTGTGTAGCTTATCCTTGTGACAAAAGTAGTTTCTGGTATTACATCCTAGTATTACAACTGTCAATTTGTTGAAGGAAATTGATTTGTGCTAGAGCAGATGAATTAAGCAAAGAATCTTTTTTTTTATTTGTCTTTCATGTCAGTAGAAAATGTGTGTTAGGTTTTTCTAAATATGTCAGAATGCTATCAGAACTGAGATCTRTTTTTGTTAGAAATGGTTTCTCTGTGTCCTTGTCTTGATTTGGGAGTTTGAAGCTTGTGAAACATGAGGTCTTTAGTCAGCAGTACTGAGCAGCTGTATGTTGCATTAAAACTAAAGAAAAGAGAAGTTCCTGAGCTTTTTGGAAACACTAAACTCTTAAATTGCCCAAACACAAAGTTGCCATTTAGAGAATCTTTAAGAGCTGGTCATATCCAATTACGTTTGAGCAACTCTCCTGATAACTCAAATGTTCTGAAGGAACAATTTGAAGACTTTGCCTGCGCTAATTTGTATTTTGAGCAGCAGGTGGGGCTGTAATCACATGTTTCCTTGATATTTTTAACTTATATTTTAACTTATAACAAATACTTAGTATTGAAATTATTTACACACCTTTGAAGTTCTAGGTATCTCTTTTGTTTCAACGAGTCTGATCTTTATGGACTATTTATAACAAAAGAAGCCCAAGAACGGCAGGTGAATTCAGTGCTAGGTTTGTGGATGGTGAGCTCCTTACTAGATCAGAAGCAGCTGCACTCACATAGGTCTACTGCTTTGGCAGCAGAGGTAGCAACTTTTCAGAATACAGCAAAAGCTTGAGAACATTTTCTTAAATATCTTTAAGTAAATAAGTAAGATTTTATTGAGTTCAGTATATTTGCAGATTCATGTCCTGAGTTAGCTGTGGAGCATCTTGTGCTTTAGTCTCTCAGGTGCWTCAAAATAGGAGGTCTGATTTGGAGCCTTTTCAAATGTAATAAAGATTTTTTTTTCTAAATCTATGTTCTAAATGAAAAATATAGGCTATTGGATATCTCCTACAAGAGAAAAGCAGCCAAAGGGATTGTAGAGGTCTCCATTTTAAGCTAAAAAATGAAAGCTTTCTTTTTGACATATTTGTATGTTGTCTAAAACAGAAATCTCTTCTTTTGCTCATAACGACTTTTAYCATTTAATGACAACATAAAACACTGTAAAAGTTTTGCTACAGGAGTCATACTGTAATTATTTATTGTCAAATCCATAATTTAAKTTTTTTGCTGCACCTTATTTTGTCAGATGTGTAGATAGATACGTATTTGATGTATTTAAAACATTAAAAAGAGGGGTAAAATTAAGAGTGTACTCCACAAACCCTAGAGGTTACCCTAGTAACATGCCTTCAGTTATATTCCTTGTGTTATTTTGCTTTCACTTCAGTTTCCAACTGGCCTGACTATTGCTGAAAAAGAGAGTAATTTTAAATTCTAAGATTTTTAAGGATTTTGCATGCTCATATTCATACTAAATTCTGTGGAACTATTGCTATTTTATTTTCTGTGATCTGTAAAGTCAGTATCATACACTKATTTAATATACTGCTGTTCGTTTCAGAAGAAATAGGCAATACTAATTATCGATTGATCATCTGTTTTATGTAAAAGTTCATACATATGTACATATTTTAAATAGAAATACTGACAGCAGATGCTTTTCTTTTGCAGGCCCTTGGTGCTCTTGAAGATATAGAGAATTACCTTAAAATCGTTAATTCGGAAGGTTTGAGTTTGCCTATTTTGGCAATGAAGCATGAAGAATTACAGGAAGAAATTAAAGAGTGTGCAGCCAGAGCCTTGCAAAAGGGACAAACCTTAGTTAATAAAGCAGAATCTCACAGGTATTCCCTCTATTTTTTTCAAATCTACTCCCATTTTTCTGTATCTGTCAGTTGCTTTATAGTAGTGCTGGCTAGAACCAGGCTGCATTTACAGCCGATGTAGTTATCTATATAGGTGGAGGCCAAACTGACCTCAAAATCACATTTCAGCCATATTTATTTTCTTACATCTCAGTGGAACTTTTCATACAAGCAGAATCTCTTTCCTTTGACAAGTCCTATGGTGGTTAGAAGATAAGTATCAAATAGTGGGATCAAAATATTGGGGCAGTAAATGAAAAGTAATGTCAATAGCTATGAATACTCCTTACTGCCCTTAAGACCTTTTTGAAACATATCATTGTAATAGATGCTGTGATTTGCTGCAAGATAAAAGATATACCTATTAAGCCAAATGCAGAAAATAGAGAAATTGCTCCACTTCTCAGTATCTTTAGTTCATGAACTTCGTTCTTCCACGCATTTTGCTAATATTAGTAGTGAAATGCTTTGCAGATGTGATTGTTATTGATATAAAACATGGCCCAGTTTAAAATCTGTCCTACTAGTTTAATATATTCTAATTTCCGAAAAGGAGTATATATGTGTTTTGAAAGGGAGAAGAGAGAGTCATCTTTGTGCAGTATAAACCGGTATTCCGTCCTTAAACACTGACCACTATTTAGCTCAGTGGTGAGCCCACACAGGACAGGAGAATTAGTATGAACAACTGAGGGCCAAAGGAGGAGAGAGATTCTGATAGGAAGCAGGACTTTTATGAAGATTAAATACTRATTACTCTTTTAATTCCCATAATGCACAAGTCAGAACTGCCCCTTGCCAACTTTTCATTTACTTTACACATCAAGACTGGAAAGCCTGTRGGAGATTAGCAGTCATCACTTGAAGACAGTGAAGAGTGTGGATCTGAAAAACTTTACATGCTACTTTTCAAAAAGCTGCTTTGCTATAACACAGAAAAGAAAATATTATCTGACAACAAGATACATAGCTGTTAAGTGTTTGCCATCTGGTAGGATTCTCAATCCAGATGGCAGCCAGTACAAATTCATGTGGAATTTGCGAATAGCTTTGAGATCTCCCTGAAGGAGAAGCTAAAGCCCAGTTGTTTTAGAACTTCATCATTTACAACAGAGGAAATGGCATCACACAAGTATCCTCTGCTACTTACCTGACTCTGCTGGTTTTAAGAAAGGTGGATAACACCTTGTTCGTTTTGATGGAATTATGCTCTCCATTGCATAGTTTCCTCCAAATGAGGTACTAGAAAATGAATTTCAATGCAATATCAAAGGGACCATGTGTGGTCCCTGTTTAACTGCACTGAAAGAAGACTGAGTACTTGAGCATTAAGAGGAGAATTAAACTGTAAATGGTTTCTGCATTCACATGGTTTTGTTACCATTTTCAGAATACACAAAAATGACCCAGGCAATTTATATGCATATGCTCCTGAATGGCTTATGATCTATAAATGTAATACTGCCAGCCCTTACAGAGGCTAAGAATATGTTTAAGGCTTGTGTCACTGAATAAAGTAGCATTATTGTAAATCAGACTTACAGTAGAAATAAGACATTGCAGTCTTACTATATTAAAAGGTAAGAATAAGCCCAAATGCCAGTAATTTACACATGGAAGAGGAGTAGATTATGGAAAAGCCACAGAGGCAGTTATTACAGAAAAATACTGGCAAACTTGATTTTTGAGTTTCATAATATTAAGTTAAATCTAGCTAGTAATGCAGGAGTGCAGCAAAAATATATATTTGGTAAATTAAAAAAAAAATCAAAATCAAAAGAAAAAATTATTTTAAAACTGGAAACAAGATGTATTTCTACTCTCTTTAGGGGCTTTCCATTTATGACTTTTTTCTTCTGACAATATGAATAAAGCCATATGAAGTTATTTGTGAAATAAGATCCATCTTGGTGAATCAGTTTCTGGCATGTAAATCTAATTTATGCACTGGCAGTAAATGATTAATTTGGAAGTATCRTTGTACTGTTCTCCTCAGCTTTGGATGCATTAAATTCGATGATTTAAAGGGTTACAGTTTAAAGTTCTCGATAAGCTCCTTGTGACAGAAATCAACAGAAGGATTTTTCTTTTAATCATTATTCTCTTGATTGTTCTGCAAGCYTTGTGAATACTAATAGTTGCACCTTTCATTTTTAGCTCTTGGGTAAAGGGAATTCAGAAGGTGAYAGAGTGTATTCAGAAAAAAGTACATCAACTAATTGGGCAGTGTCCAAATTATAAAGAACTTACTTTGAAGAAACAACAATTGACTGCATCACTTGAAGATCATCTAAATAAGGTATACCATAAAATATCTTCTTGTTAAAGTATTCATGAACAGTTCATTGTGCTTCTGTAATTTAGTTGTGTTGAATATTAAACTTGACTTGGATAATTCCAAATAACATATTGGCTTGTTAGCACACATGATTGTATTAGGAATGCTGAATGCTGTTACAGGCACCAGTGAATCCAAAGCTATTCTGAAAAATGCAGCTGTTTCCATGAGAACATTATACCAGCAATCTTTAATAAAGCATGGATTTGTTTAGATAATGAGCTTTTATAATTTGTTCTCTGTTGGAAAAGAAGCAAAGCAGCAAGCAATCAGGACCGTGACTTGAATACAGGCTTTCTGTATTCTTCCTATGACTTCAATTTCATTTTCCTGGAGCTTAAAAAGAAAAAAAAAAMCAAAAAACCAACAGTGGCAAAATTGACAAATTGAGATTTAATAAGAATGGTGACAGTAGACCACAGCCAATTTTCAGTAATGCTGAAGCAGAGTGTGTCTTGTTCACTGTAATTGCCTTAGCTCTTTCAGGGATTTGTTAGTGCATAGACAGCCCTCTTGATGCTGCTGAATGTTCTCTACTGCTGCTGACCTTTTTAATGATTTATCAACGATGAAATGGACACAGGGCTTCAAAACAACGTGCCTTGTGTATATTCAAATTCAAATGCGATATAATCTTTATAACAAGGTTCAGAGGAAGGAAATCCCAAAGTACAGACTGAAAAAAAGTAGATCAAATTTAATGACTGAATRATTAGGTCTGATATTTCACAGCAGGTGAGTAATGTTTGTAATGAACTATTCAGAGTTATTCTACTGCAGTTCTACCAAGCAAGGCAGTTAATATTGCAACCTTCTGCTAAAGTAGGACATTTTCCAAGTATTGGATGATAAATTCAACTTCTTGGAGCTTCATTTAATAAAGATTGAGCCTCAATAGGTAGACAGTTGTTTAATAATCATTTATTATACATTTGTGATGTTTATTATCTGTCATTGTTCTTCACAACCTGTTCTGTTATCATTATCTGATATATCTGTATATCTTGTAGAAAATTGTGTTGTYTACTTATATCTGCACAAAATGAGTTTTTTGGCTCGTGAGAAAATCTTTAAATGGATCTGTTGGAAAAAAAATCTGTATGGTCTTTTTGTAAAATGGAGCATAATGAAAGTATTTATGCCAGGATTATAATACAGTAAGGGCTTACTGAAAGAAAGCTAGAAGAGTTAGGTAGGAAGAAAAGCAGTTGATAAAATATGAGCAAACCAGAGTTTTTCCTTCAAATTCTGTCCAAGTCTGTTAGATTTGTAATAGTAGATTTTTTTTCCCTTGATATTATAATTTAACCAATAGTTTAATTATATGAAGTACATAATATAAACACCAACCATCAGTTGGGTTTCTTTGCTCTAAACTAACRTTTTTATGCTATATGCTTAAGTAAATTAGCTATATAATTTGCCTAACTATATAAATGTTTTCGATTAAAGGTATCACAATCAATTAAAATAATCAGACCAATAATTTTTACTGGTATGGAGATTGGTTCTTATTTGTCCGAGTCTGAAAGAGTATTGAACAAACATATTGAACTGGCTCATCAAACAAAGGTAAAGAAGAGAATATGTTAATATGTTGAATATTTTTAGAAATAAATGTATATTATGTATATTTCTAAACAAGATGAGAAGCTGGAGGTTTCTTATGTATTCTTGGAAAGAAAATAGACCTTATTTTRTTTAAATCTGTAGTTAAAGAATGAAAGCACAGAAAGCACTGCATGTCAGTCCTCCTTATATGTTTGGTTGTGTCACTGCCTCTGTCTTGTGTTACTACAGCAAGATGCTGCTGTCAAACTTGAAATGTCTGTTAAAAGAAATACCTAAGCATATATCTTGCCTTCTGAAATGATTTCTTGACCTTGGCAACTTTTTCATGTTTAATTCRAGTCCATATACTTTGGGCTAGGTTGGATGTCATTCTTTACTTATGTGCACTTCCGAACAAATAGTTTCTAAAAGTCTCTTTCAGCATAAAAATTGAAATTTGCATTCAAGCAAGGAGAAAGTATATATGCTTTGTGTGTGTTAAGTATGATGCTTAACAGGAAAAGTAGCTGCAACTAAAAAGAACAGTACTTGTACAAAACTATGGTTAAAGAAAGTGAYTCTGAAAACCAGAATCCCCCCTGGATCATGGAGAATGGTTGCAATTCTTGATGCATCTGCACAGTCGTCTTAGCATTTGATGCAGTAACAAACATAGTCCATTTGATTCCCACTGGACTTGGGAGATTTGCTGCATGCAAGAGTATAGGTTTGGGCTGGTTTGTGTCAGTCGATTATAGTTGGGAAGCAATCCTAACTATAGGTAGGATTAGCTATAGTTAGGAAGCAAGGATTCAGAAGTGGAACCAAGAGTCATATGCCAAAGTCAGAAATCACAGACAGGCGGCCTGCCTCAAGCACTGGAACAGCTACAGAAGGAGCCTTGTGAGAATCCAGAGATTCTAGAATCATGCACTGAAGTGGACATTTAGAAGTGGTTCAAGAAAATTGTGTATTGGACACAAACAGCTACGGGGGATATAGATTCAGAGACTCAGTTCAAAAAATTGGGCTATGCATATGATTGTCATCTATTTATCAGTTTGGGCTACCAGTGTGCACACGTGAGAAACATTTCTGTTGTTTTTGATTCTTTATATTGTGATGTGGCTTGCTTAGTATGTTCATTCAAAATTACTGTTTTAACGTCACTGATTGTTCCTGGTGTCAAAAGGTTACGTGAAAAAAATGGTTGATTTCTGCATGTAATAGTGTGAACTGCTCTTCAACTAAGTAATTGAATTATACATAAATATATATACATACTACTAATGAAAATTAATCATGAGCAATCAATTTTCACAAGTTTTTTTCAGTTGTTTTACATATTGTCCTTCCCTTGTTTCCTCAAAGGAAGCTTCACGTGAACTGGAAGCAGCTGAGAAAGTCATAAAAGWTTTGGAAGAATTTGAACCTGTGAAAGTGGCAGCATTTTCTAGCAAAGCTGACATTTTAAATGAAGAATTGAAAAAAATTAAAAGAAATATTAGTTCAAAACTAGAAATTCTTGAAACTTATGTGCCCTTCTTAAAGTCGACAATGGAGGTATGCTTAATTCTCTGGCTTTGCTGTGAAATCTTACAAATACCTTTACGGGTACTTTTATCTAATAAGATAAACTGTATAAACTATAGCTGCGGCACCACTGCAAATCTTTGTAATCTGTTTTAAAGGAGATCTATTTTCTCAGAGCAGGGTACCCTGACTATTGAAATGGCATCAATCTAATGATTAGTTTATTTAAAGATTTTCTACTGATCTAAATCTCTATTGTAGAAAGTATTATGATTGAGTTATTACTGTCTTTCTCTATCCCTCCCTTTTCCATTATATACATAATATAAATGTTCACATGTATGTACTCTGAGTCAGTAAATTTACTGATTTTACTTCATTTATTTAACTATYTCTTATAATGTTAACGTAGTGTGTAGATATTTATCGACATATAATCTTGCACTGCTTCAACTGAAGTGCAAATGTGACGGAAGTTTAAAATAAGCATAAACCAGCCCTTGGTGATATGATCTGTGTGATTAATTTTGGTATGCTACACATTTGAAGATATTTAAGATAACAGTGTTGGTGCTTTTTGTGTATTTAGGAAGAAATTAAAGATGGAATTGAATCTTTTAGATAAAATGAGCCWTTGATTTTAACTAGTAGTGTGCGTATAAAATGCAAAAAGACTGGATCTACTTCTGAGTGTTGTTAATTTTAGTTGCATATTAAACATAAATGAAAGTCATTTCATTGATACAGTGGTATATAATATTCATATAATGATATATGRCATAAATTGAACAACTGCCAACTATCTGCCTGCCATCCACAGGTTTACAGATATAGATCACATTTTTTATTAGCTAATTTATGTATATATTTCGGCTATATATTTTTTTAAGCGGTGGAAAATGCCTAGTGCTCGATATTAGTGTATCTATATAGCCACTAATTATAACAACTCAAATTTTGATTTTAGAYGTGTATTTTGTGTTTTTCCACAGGTGAATGACCATATTCAAAATCTGAAGGAGCTGTATAAATCAGAAGTCCTACAAGCAAACAGTGAGGTTGAAAATAAATCTGCAATTGAGTCAGCTAATAATCAGTGGCAAAAGGCTATAAAGAACATTTTTTCCACTCAAGATATGGGTCAGAGTTTTCTTAATTTAGTAAATATGGTGAGACTGGTTCATGACATTACCATCTTTAATAAAAATGATTGTTAGAATTGCAAACAAACAAAAAAAAACCCCCAAAACAACCCCCCCACACACCTTTAAATTCATACTTAAATCATGGCAGATGATTTAATGTAGAAGGCATGATTATCCAGCTGTTRTTTCTATTTTCTAGAGCAGGTTAGACAGATTAAGCAGATGAAAAGATGTGGTGATGAGTATGTGGGATGGTAACCAGCAGTAGCATGCCAGATAAGCTGGAAAACAAACCCCAGAAGAATGGGGAGGACTCCTGGGGTTGGTGAGCTGAAGTGTTTGCTGGCTCAGCTGGATACAGCCAGGCACAGATAAACTAATGAGACTTAAGCTGAGCTGAGTGTGTCTGAATACGCAGTTACCCTTCATTCACTTACAGTGCAAACATACCTTTTAAAAGATTGATTTATCYGTAGCCAGAGGTGTGTTGCCAGCATATTTTCTGCTGCTGTGTTCTCATGATATATTTAGATGCAACTTTGAAGTATCTGGGAAGACAGAGACACTAATAATTTACTAATAGATGCTAGTAATTGACACACACCTTTCCTTAACGGAAAACATTGTGAAATGGGAAAAGCTTAGAGAGAATTAACAGATTTTTGTAAGAAGTTTCTTAGCTGAATTCTGGCAAAGAGAGAGGGGGAAAAAATATTCAAATGCTGACCACAGTATCCTTCCTTCTATGCTGCCTTGTTTTTCAGAGGAGCAGTCTTGTCTTCTCCCTCTTTACTTTCCACTGATAGTCCCCCACCAAAATACATACTTCTGTACATTCAAAAATTAYGTTTTTTCTTTTWGTGATTTTTTGTTTTAATGAAGTGTTAGCAATTTTTGTGTTTTAAGCATGAACATTAATCGTAGTTTCAGTATACACATTAGATTAAAAAAAAAWWARGRAAAAMMAAARGRAAARGRAAAAARACCACCTACTATATTTAAAAGCATGTAAGCTCCAAGGAATTTTCAAATAAACTAGAACAGTTTGATAGTTTTTATTAAGTTTCCTTAAATTTTACTTTTAGTATTATGGACATTGTCCTTATATTTTTATGAAAATTTGTGAAAGAGTCATGTTTCATTAGTTGTTTGTTTACCAGGTAAATAAGAGTTTAATATTAGAAGTAGAAAAATCTGTACGAGTAACAGAGGACATCATTAATAATCTCAGTAAAGAAAAGAAAGAGCTGACTGATCTTTGGGCAGTCTGCAATTATAAAGTTAATGAAGTAAAACTCATCAAACAGCAGCCCTGGATATTTAAAGAGCAACTCAAAAAGGTAAGTAGAATACTTATGAAGAAAATAACTTCTGGATTATTATTTGTTTGCATATGACTCTCATCAAATACTACCGATCTCATATAAGAAAATGAGATTATCTGTAAAACCCTTCTCCATAGTCTATTTTACCATTATGATTRTCATTAAGAAATATTATGAATCTTTCATTTTTTTTGTCCTTATTGAAATGAATGCAAATAATGATTTGAAATGTTCATATACAGATCTACCATAGCAGCACTGCTACTCGTGTGTGTGTGTGTTTGGTTTGCATATTTTTAATGCCATTTTGCAGTTGCTCAGTAGTTACTAAACTAAAGGATGCTTTATTATTGCAACTCCCAAAATGTTGAACCATGTCATCAGGAAAGAGAATTTAAGCCTTCATGTCACGGGGTTCCTTAAAAGCAGTGCTAGCTAGTCTAGCAACGGAACCAGAGGTCCTTGGCTACAGTGTACATGTAGTGCAATTTATTTTTGTCACACAGTGTCTTCCAAGGATTGTGATTAAATGATAGAGTCCTCRTGTCTTGATGTCTGAATCAATTTTGCATGCTGTTATAAGGATCTCTAATTAACCATGATAATGTCAGAGGATTTGAGACAGAGGTTTATAGTTTAGAAAAAAAAAAGTAGCGGGGGAGCATAATGAAAGATAGTATCATCTTAAGAATCCCTYATTTGTGTAGTAGTACTCTCACTTAATGTGAAATCTACCGTCAGCATGAGAGTATCTGGTTTGGGRGAGGTTTTTGTTAAGAGTTTAGACTTGGATTTAATTTTTTTATTTTCTACAGATGGAAAAACTGAAATGTTTCCCTATCTTTTAGACTACCCATGGGTTAGAGATTGTTCAAGATGCATTCAGACTTGCAGCAATAGTTGACCTTGGAAGTGACCTTCATAGTATTTTGGAACTACAAAAAACTCTTAACCAAACGAAACCACAGTTTCAGGTGAGAAACTGAGTGAAGTCCACAACAGAGCAAAAGCTTTTTTGGTGCTGATTCACATTCACATTTACCTTATACAGAGTGTCTGAGATTACAGTGATTTATATTTTTTATATTTATATCTTACATGTTTTTACATTACTTTTCTGAAAGGAAGGTTAGTGTACGTTATAAGGGAAGGGAGAGAGAATTTACCTGCAGCATCCAGAGAATGTCTTGTGCGACGTCAGCTGCAAATTAAGATGATAAACAAGCACAGGAGGAGGGAAAAAGTGAGTAAAAGGAAGAGCACCAGCACTCATGGTTTGGAGTTGCAGGCCTGCTGTGGGGCTGGGATAGGTCATACCGAGCTACTACTGCTTCTGAATGCTGTTTCTGGTTTGTAGCGAGCTGGTCATTCACGTGCTCGTGGTCTATATTTCCCCTAAGAGTCAGAGTGTGGCTCTTATGTTTTGATTCAAGACTTTTCCTAGGTTCAGTTTCATGTCTAGAGGAAAAAAAAAAAAAAAAAAAAAAACTGTAGAGTAATAAAAGGAGTGTGACGTTTATTTTTCTCTGAGGCAATTCACCATGTTGTTACGTTGTTTTTTCATTAAACGTAAAGGAAGTCTTGTAAATAAGAGTAAATTATGCTGCTCTTTTGCTAGCAACTGAATGCTGAGCTTGAATACATGGTAAAATTATTAGAATTACTGAGCCAAGAAGGATCTTCTAGCAAAGAGAATTCTGAGAGAATAAGTGAGCTGATTCATCTCCAGCAAACGATAAAGGACACAATGAGGGAATATGATGACGTCTTCAGCAAGTCAGTCCAATTTCATCGTGTTAAAAAAGAAGTGAGTATAAACTTTTAAA